AAAAGGGCGGAAAATTTTGTCCGAGTTAAGCCAAATCCGACTTATCGAGTGTCCGACTTATCGAGAGTGACTATGTAATATGTTTGGCTTTAGCTCGAAATGTAAATGATTATCATGTGGCTAATTAGCGTTAGGGTTGCCCACAACCTGATAATCACGTGTTAACACATTTTTCTCGCCATCACATTGTCACTATAATAATAATAATCTCTAATGGACGACGAAACGCAAGAAACACAAGATTATAACGACCAGTACTATTATTCGAATTACTGGTATCCGGGAGAGACGGGTTTGGAAGTAACAAACGGAGCAGAAGAGGTAAATCCACTGGACTCACTGCTGGATAAGATTGACACCGAAATAAAAGTAAAGCTCGATGGAAAATCCACAGAACAATCTAATGAGAATAATACGTCTACGTCAACCGATTCTTCAACTACATTCTCGATAGACTCTACTCCACCACTTCCGTCTTATCCTCCGCCACTGCCATCCTACCCTCCGCCACTCCCACCTTCCTCTTCATCCTCTTCTTCTTCTTCCATAACTACACTTACACCAAATTACACAGCAAGTGCCCGTTTTAATTCTCGTACAGGTCGTTTCCAAAGAGATCCAACGCTAAACCCTGAACGCTTTTCTGCTGATGCCAAGGCAGTGCGTCAAATGTCATTTTTCTTTAATTATGAGCAATACGCTGAAGAACGAGGAAAAAAGAGATTAAAGGGAGAGAAAAAGGAAAAGAAATTAAGCAAAAGGGAGCTGAATTTGCTTAGGCAGAAAAGAAAAGAAAAGAAAGAGATGAAGAAGAAGGCATGGTTATTAGGTGGAGACTGATTCAGAATAAAAGTTCGATATATTTGAGCGGAAACGGAAATTATCTGCAGAGTGGGCCCGATGTTATCTAATCAAAGGGTTGATTAGTGTGAAATAGTCATGTAGGTGTTAATGATTTCGATCGCTAATGCAATTTACCAATATATAATAAAATGGATCATTTGAATTTTATGAGCATGTGCGTAGACCAGAAATTTGTCAGTCTATTGTGCATTGGATCTTTATTTCGTCTAACATCAAAAAAAAAAAAGTCCTTCCAAACGAGATTAAGTTCAAGAGCATGAAAAAGAAACAACTACAGGTGACTATCTGTTTGCTCAACTATTCCCACGTAATTATTCTAACAGCACTTAAAGGATTTGATTAGGCCCATGTCAACTGCATTTGAACCAAGTGTTTCTTCAGTTCTTTTTCAGTCTTTTGCGCGCTAGCTCTCAATGTTCCTTCTTTATTTCAACTATAAATATAGTTCACGTCATATTCCGAAATCCTAATCATGATAGTTCTACTCTCTCGGCATATTGAAGTATATCAGAGTGGAATCGATCAGTTAACTTATCCCCGGCGCCAGATGCAACTTTGAGCACGTCTTCCTATTAACATGTAAAGCATTACAAATGGTATGTCAAGAGTAGAATTATCAGTATACAATAGTTGACGAGCGATAAGATCATAACCAGTAGTCGACGGCTAGTTGGCGTTCGCTGCTTGACATGTAATATTGGATGCAACAAGTTACTCACCGTTACAGCATAATTTCCAAGTATATCCACGTGATCAGCCGTTTTCGACCCTCCTCGGAGATCGAATGAAGATGCTGTTTCGTGGTAATACTCTCGCGTGATTACTTTAATGCCGGCAGGATTGTAAAGACTGTCCTTCCATCCTTTGACACACATGTAACCCAGAGAAATTAAAGGCACTGTTCCATCTCTGCGTGACATACAGCAAACGTCAGTGTGAGCGAGTCAATTTCACCATGAAAATTCTTCCCTTTACCCCTCCAACTCGTCCCGCTATACTCATTTTCTCTAGTTGATAAACTCACCCTTCTCCATTATGCACTCCGCTTTTCAAGCCTTCGGTATCAGCATTAATGGAACTGTCTATAAAGATATTTCTCAAAAACTCCAAACCCTCTTTAATTCTGTGTTTTTTCTCGTCGTCGTCATCGTCAACAACTTCAGTCTTACAATCCTCACAGTCACTGTTCTCATCTCCATCATTCTCATGCGAATAATAATATCTACGTTCTGTTTCCTTTCCCCATCCATAAAGGCAGTATATCTTCATATCAGGTGCATATGGCAAAGTGGATTCTAGTGGATTTGTCCATTTGGTATGATCCCAAGCTTCCCTAAACTCACTTTTCTGTGTAGCAACGCCAAAGCTATAATTTCTTGCCAACATATCATTAAATAGTTTATCCGTGTTTTGTTTTAAAAACGTAACTCCGCTATTGCACGTATGTTTATGTACCAATTGCGGCCCACTTTTACTCTCATTCGATTTGCTGTTGTTTCCGTTACGCGGAACAGAGCGGAATGTGAGCATGGGACCATAGGATTCGGAGCGAGAACCGTAAGAGCGATCATCAGGCGCATGGGTTGTATTGCCCCATATGCCTTCACCGCCCTTAGGGAGCATTGAGGAAAGGCCACCCCAGGTGCGGAAAAGTTCTGCGCGCTCGCGACGAGAAAAGAAGCGTTCAAGAACATAGATACCAAACGCACCCAGCTCTACCGTGTCCCGCATTTCACCTTTATCAATTAATAAAAGTAATAAAGGAGGTTCAGTATAATGGCAATTGACTTATAAAGTGGTGTCTGTACTATAAAATTTTCACCTGATAGAAGAGCTGATAACGCTTTAGGCAGCCCCAACAAGGGCCCACCGATGTTGACAAATGCTTCAACATGATCATTAACCCAATTGGGTCCACCGTTTCCGCCCAATGAGGATTCTACCCATTTGAAGAAATACAAAGTGACCATCGAACCTAATAACCGAATTACAGTAAATACATTTGTACACAAATCTTTTCTGTTAATTTTCACTGTCTTGTACTTGCCCATAGAATGACTAACAATCACGCTCTTCTTTCCGTCATTATTCTTTGCAAGTTCAAGTGTTGATTTCAGTTTGGAGAAATATTTGTCACGCACTTCGAGGTTATAAAAAGATAGCCGCCAATCGTATGCCGCCAAGTTCATATTATTGGAATCATATCCAATTGCTGCAAAATTCTGAATCATCTTTCCTGCGTGATAGAAAAACCATGAGACGTGACGGTAAAATAAATCAATTAATCCAAGATTGTTCATCAAGTGAGTATTGCATAAAATAGATCGAATAAGCTGATAATTATATCTCACCCCAAACCCAATAGCTTTATACCCAAAGAGAGTAAGAATATTAGAGTTAACTTGGGGTAAAGTGTCGTTCGCTAGCTACTGTTGATTAGTACAAAATCAAAAATTCTTCACACTGCTTACCCAGGGAACAAATAATCTGCGGCATCAAGACCTGTAAAATTAAGCATTGTATAAATCAGTTAATGCAATGGGTACGATATGATAGTTGGTGACGCCACTAACACTTTAACACTATTCTATCCTAGTACCAATCTCCTCCTCACCCCCATGACGAGCATCTCAAATAAACAAAGCTCATCTCTGTCAACCTTGAGCAGCTCTTAATTTGACATTTGGTGGATCAAGCCCGGTCACGGCATCGAGTCTCATATGATTTGTCCAGCATTCTTTGTCTAACAGAACCGCCCTAAACATTGCTTTTATGGAGATGTACAAGCGAATTAATACAATTGATGGGAATTTCAATATAAATAACAACAAGAATAATAACCTCAAAGTTTATTGAATTACTTACTCGTTGTCCCCCACATTCGTTTTCTAAAGTACTTTTGAGAACAGGTTGCCGTGCTCCAACTTTCTAATCCCTAGTCGTGATGACAGTTAGAGACATTAAGTCACACAATAACGGGAGAAATTTGCGCATTCCATAGAAAAACTGTAAAAATAATCTTTTTGAAATAAAAAGCTTTTTTATATCTTCACCCTACATCTCGTACTACACTTACAGTGGATACAATCCCTGGTATTAATACTACCGGAAACTCTGCGGTTATTCCTGTTTCAGCCAACTGTATTCCAGGCATAAATTCGGTATCTGCAAGAATATTTGGTTTCAAAAACATTGTCATATTTCCTATTATCTCATCGACTAGCATGTTAGCGGGTAGAATACTGCTCAGATCCAAGTCCTGAAAAATGGTCGAGAACTGATTAACGGTTGTAGGTTCCATAGACATCCAGGCAATGATCAATCCAAGTATTAAGCCAGCCGAGAACACTACGCGCTTGCGTGTTAAGAGAGGAGCGGTATATTTATGTCCCAGAAAGAATGTTTCGCCAACATTCTGTTCATCAGCTTCAACTGACAAATTCTCGTTCTTTTTTCCATCAACCTGATTTGATTGACCGTCCTGATTAATTCCGACTCGGTTGGGAATCGTAAAATGAACAGAGTTGGGGTTAGACGTTAGATTCTGTCGAACAGGACGGGAATTGGAATATTGTTGATATGCCGTCGAAGCAATAGTTGCTGTTGTTGCAGTACTGGCATCGCTTTGATAAGCATCGTCATCGAAGTGAGATAAGTCGTCATCAGAAGCAGATTTGTTCTGTTTACGTCGACGCGACATTTCTTGTCGAGAAAACCGAATTGACAAGGTGCTATTCTAGTTCTGTGTATGAATGAGAGATTTTTATCGGAATGCGAGGAGAAGTGAGTGTTATGAGGACAACGTTAATGTATGGACAATAAGTGTAGTCGCAATGGTTATTCTGTTTCTCAAGCTGGCAATATAACAAGCACACGGGATTGCAGGAATTGCAAATATCAAAAGTTATGATATTGGGCTATCGGTTGTGTATCAGCATTTGTGCATTATAATCTTCTCTTCAAAAATTTCAGCTGATGCATGACGTGACGATCTTCGATTGAATGTCCAAGAACTCTGTGATTGGATGGAGAGTGTGAGAAATTGGGACTGTCATAAATGGGCAGCAAAGGAGAATGAGTGGAAGAGCTTATCCCAAATAAACTATCTGAACATGATCACCTTACCAATTAATCGTTAGTTCCTTGTTTGATTGCTGTATCAAAAAATGCACTTAACGAATATTTTGGTTGATTTTAATACACCCCTCTACGCGTTTCACAGTTTCATCGAATAAAATGTGCGCATGTATAAATGTGCTTACTAAATGATGTTGGTCTATTGATTGATTTTCTATGAAATTGTATCATGTTATTTTGTCATACCCACTTCATATTCAGTTTTCATAATAATAATACGTTCATTAATCATCATTTTTCGTGCAACATACATGAGAATTCTTATAAATAGTCGCAATAGAGATCTTGGTATCTCATCTTGGATCACTCGACAACTCTACGACTGACCCAATCTCATTGTTAATAATGGCAGACAACTCTAAATCACAATCAGACGGAATTATTACTATCATTGGTATGTTATATGGCAATTGAACGTAAAATTGGCTTCGTCATACACGATCATATGTTGATGATCTACGTTTCCTAATCAAACAGTTCTTGGGGCCTCTGGCGACCTTGCCAAGAAGAAGACGTATCCAGCCCTTTTTGGCCTGTATCGCATGGGCTATTTACCAGAGCGAACGCATATAGTGGGGTATGCTCGTTCCAAACTTGAATTGGGTGATTTCCGTGGCCGGATATCTTCATACATGAAAACTCCTACCGAAGATGCCAAGGAAAAACTCGGAGAATTCAAGCAATTATGCACATACGTCTCGGGGCCATATGACAAAGTTGAAGGTTATCAACGATTAGATGCTGCAATTTCGGAGGTGGAGCGTAATGTCAAAGGAAGTAAAAATCGCGTGTTCTATATGGCGTTGCCCCCTAGTGTGTTTGTGCCCGTTGCTAGAGGCGTGGAACGTAACGCCTACTCTAAGTCTGGATTCAATCGCCTAATTGTTGAGAAACCGTTCGGACGTGATTTGGAGAGCTCACGTCAATTACACCTTGCATTAGCGCCATTGTGGAAGGAAGATGAGGTAATTGGAGCAATTCACTATGACGAGCATCCAAACCATCGTAATAACATTCATTATCTTGTCTTGTGTTAGATTTATCGTATCGATCACTATCTTGGGAAAGAAATGGTCAAGAATTTGTTGACTATTCGATTTGCTAATGTCTTCTTTGGGGCTGTCTGGAACCGTCAATGTATCTCCAATGTACAAATCACTTTCAAAGAAAAGATTGGAACTGAGGGCCGCGGTGGATATTTCGACGAATTTGGCATTATTCGTGACGTAATGCAAAATCGTAAGTTACAGGGTTATTGATTACGTAATGGCATTCACTTTTCAATGACCACTTTTTAAAACCCCATAGACATACTTCAGATACTGAGTATTGTTGCCATGCAACGTCCTGTATCACTCGATGCGGAGGATGTTCGCGACGAGAAGGTTGTTTCTGCTTGCTAGACTGAGATCAACTGTCAATTACTAGCCGAGATTCTTTATTGACAGTCCGTTTTATATCGAATTAATAGGTACGCGTCCTTCGTTCCATTCCTCCCGTCAAGGTTGAGGAGACGTTGCTAGGTCAATATACCAGATCGGAAGATAATAGCAAGCCGGGGTATTTGGAAGACAGTACTGTTCCACCAGGCAGCAATTGCCCGACATTTGCCGCTGCTGTTCTCTGGATTAATAATGAACGATGGGAGGGTGTTCCATTTATTCTTAAATGCGGAAAAGGTATGTCTCTAACTATAATAGCGACAAATTTATGATTTGTTATCTTCATATTGTAATTGTTATCTCTATCGTATCCGATGCATTCCATCCACTTGCCGTTTATTTACTTGAACAATTTTGTCCACTTATTTATTCCATGACAGCGTTAAATGAACAAAAGACCGAAATTCGTATTCAGTTCCAAGATGTTCCCGGAAACGTTTTCCGTGGTGCCCCTCGCAACGAACTTGTCATCAGAGTTCAGCCTAACGAGGCTATGTACATGAAATTCGTAAATAAACAACCCGGTCTCTCCATGGATACGGTCATATCTGAACTAGACCTTACATACAAGCGCCGTTTCTCTGATCTGAAGATTCCTGATGCATACGAGGCTCTAATCCTCGATGTCCTCAAGGGGGACCATTCCAACTTTGTACGTAATGACGAATTAGACGCTGCTTGGAAGATCTTTACTCCTTTGCTACACGCTATCGAGAACGAGAACCTGGCTCCCGTCTCATATCCATACGGATCTCGCGGTCCTGCTGGAGTTCATGAATTTGTGGCTAAATATGGATATAAACGCACAGAGGATTATGTCTGGTCTGAAAGTAAGTAATAAGTAAATTAGTCTTGTTGGATTTAATAGGTGGTGGAGACTGTAAGATAGGGTGTGTCATGTTAAGCATGACCTTATGGCAACGTTATGATTGTATCTATCAAATAATAAAATATTGTATTTACATTTTGTATTCGCGTATCCGTGATTCCAACTTCAATGCTTGCTGCCAATGAATAAGATCCAATTCCGATAAGTAGACTCATTAAGCTGTAGCTCTCGCTCTGTCTTTATAAACACTTGTTGAAGCAATATCCGTGCTGTAGAAATAATGATTGGTGTAGTGTTATCTTGCATTGGTCAGTTACATAAATCTTTACATTAACGTTAAGAGAAATTTGCCGAAAATCGGTATCAGTGTTACACTGCTAACCCAAAGTATTTTGCGCGTTAGCGCAAAGAACTCCTAGCACAGAGATACTTTAACAATAACAGTTTCTATTCCAAACTCTTCCATGAACCTCTTGTACTCAAAAACTTTATAATCATACTATAAACAGCTCTAAACCTGTATCATGGTTTCCTGTTTCAGTACGACTTTTTTAGCAAGTGTCTGCCGAAGTACGACTTCCTGTTTCAGCACGATTTCAGGTTGTCGTCCATAATAAGGTTTCAATAGCTCACCTCGAAAGGAAGAGATTTTCGTATTCGAGGATAGAGACCTTGTAATTAGTGGAACTTGCTTTATTATTAATACAGTGAACCCTCTCTAATATCAACTCCACGGACCGGCCAATTTCGTTGATACGGGGTTGGATGGTGTTAGGGTTTTAAATAATGACGTCATATGTAATGATATTAGTGCACTATAATGATATTATATACGATACTTATGTCTCGAATAAAATCTTAAACTTTATAATAAAAATCTCTTTATTTCTTTCTC